GCCCTCCAACGCAGGGGCCAGCCAAAAGATCAACGCTAGCCCCAGGGGGCCCACCCAGCCACCGACCCAAACAAAGACACGCCCGCCAAACCAGGCACCCCACCGCCCCAGACCCCCCCCACCCCCCCCCTCTCCGCTGGCAGGTGGACGACGTTTGAGAGCGCCGTGAGCACCGAGGCGCTCGCGCGCCTCGCCTACTTCCCAGGGCTGGGCGAGCTTGTGGAAGAGCGGCTGCCGCCCAAGGTCGTCGAGATCGACGGCGCGGGGCCCCGTGTGGCGGAGATGGAGGACCGCGCCGACGAGGGGATGGGGCCGCGTAACAAGCGCGTGATCGCCGCGATCGAGGCGGCCTCCTTCACGGGCAAGGGCGACAAGCCGGTGGTCGTCCAGCTGTACCGTGACTACGCAACCAAGGTGAACAACGCGATGGTTGCCTCGGGCGAGGCGCAGGAGGGGGAGTACGAGGGCGAGTACAACGCGGCGGGAGAGCGTGAGGGGCGCGGCGTCATGCGGTACGCCAACGGCAACGTCTACGAGGGCGAGTGGAAGGCGGGTGAGGCGGAGGGGCGCGGCGTCTTCCGGTTCGCCGACGGCGACGTCTACGACGGCGAGTTCAAGGCGGGCAAGAGGGAGGGGCGCGGCGTCTACCGGTTCGCCGACGGCAACGTGCTGTCGAGCTTCTTCAAGCAGAGCGCACCCGTCGGCGAGGCTGTCCGGTGGGAGGCGGACGGGCGGCGGGCGGCGCGGTTCCGTGACGGGAAGCCGGTGGAGTGGATCTCGCTGGAGGAGGCGCGGCAGACCGCCGAGCGGCTCGGGCTCCCCCTCCCCTCCCCGCTGCCCGGCGCGGCGTGAGAGGCGGCACTCTTAGCGAGAGCACCCGTGGAGCACATGTTCTCTGTGCGAGAACCGAGCCGCGACCCCTATCTCTTTTGAGTCGGCGGCGGCGGGGGAGGCTGCCGGTCCCCGCCGGATTCCTTCCGGGGCGGGGCCGGAAGTTGGGCCGGAGGGGGATGTGTGTGCAGGCCATGTGCTCGGCGCCGGTCCGAAAATTCCTGGTTCCCGGTCGGGGTTACCCCAGGGGGGGGGGGGGGGGGTTGGCTCTCGAGAGAAGACCTTGGGAAGGGCGCGCAGTGTCTCCCGGGAGCCGTCAGCCGACGGCGCTCTCGGCGCACCGGCGCGTTTTGTGGCAAATGTAACTTGTCTACTGGGGCTGGAGTGTGGAGAGCCGCGAGCACGGAAGGTAAGTAAGGTAAGGTAGATTTCTCCACACACACAAAGTGGTGGGGCAAGGGGGGGCGACCCTCGCATCTCCACGCCCGGACACCCGGGCAGGAGCCCCACGCACGGAACCGTCAACGACGCGAACCGAGCAGGACTGGGCCTAGCGCACAAACCCCTGGTCAACTGAGGGTCCCGCCTTTAGTCATCACTATATCTTGTACAACATCGGAGGACCTTCCGACGAGTCACGAGACCCCCCCCCCCCCCCTCCACTCCTTTCTTTCACGCACGGCGCAACCTCCCCTCGGCCGTACTGGAACCTGCCCTCTGCTCAATGCACGGCGCTAAGCGCGTCGCGGTCGCCTCTTCGGAGGGTGCTCCTCGTCCGCGCCGCCCGAGCTGAGCGCGTGCTTCGAACCCGCACCCGCACCCGCCTCCTCCCCCCCTCCGTCGCCGCCGTCGAAGTTGAAGGCGGCCATGGCAAACTCCTCGGTGTCGCCCTCCTGTGGCGAGGCGTGACAGGGCGGGCGTCGCGCCTTGCCCGTGGTGGTGGGGCGGCCGTGGGGGGCAAGGCGGCGGGGGCGGCGGGGGCGGCGCGGCCTGGGGGGGGGG